TAATCCAACCAGAAGACTGGTTAAGTAAATTTTGGTGTATGCATATTATGAAACTTTAGCCAGTCAAAAAATAATGATGCCCATCTCTAGGTGGTTGAATGGAATGCTCTCCAGGATACACTGTAGGAAAAGCACATATAGAATAGACAGTAAAGCTTTTTACCACTTGTGTAAAAGAAAGAAACATACTCTATGTAAATCATCTCTGAACTGGTAGCATGGTTGCCTTTGATAAGGGTGCTGGAAAGCAGAACAGGAGAGGTRTACTCAATGCTCACCACAATCTCTTTATACTATCAGGATTCTTTATTGCCATGTGCATATATTACCAATTCAAATAAAAAAAAATTTAAAGGCAAGAAAAGGTGTAGAAGAGAAATGATAAGAAAGTATAGAAAACAAAATAAGTTGGGAGAAATAAAACAAAAAAAATCAGCCATGTTAAACATAGCTAGATTCTTGTCTTCAATTAAGACAGAGAGCACTTCTGATTTAGTTTTTTTTTTTAAAAAATTGTCTATTCCTGCTATTTATAAGATACAGAGATAGGTAAGGGGAGCTGGGCATGGTAGTGCACACCTGTAATCCCAGCAACTCAGGAGGCTGAGGCAGGAGGATGGCAAGTTCAAAGCCAGCCTCAGCAATTTAGTGAGACTCTAAGCAACTTAGCAAGATCCTGTCTCAAAATATGTCTCCTGTCACCATTTGAAACCTATGGAATTCATTGAGCGAGCTTTTTTCAAACCCTGACAGAAATATGTTGGAGTTTTTTCCCCTAAAAGGGTTGGGGAAGAGTTGAATATTTGCTGTCATCATTCAGATTAAATCACTGCACATGTACCTCACATACTCCACTTCCCTGCAAAAAAAGCCATGGAAAASTTGGAAGCCCAAGAAGTCTACTGATGTCATCCAAACGTACTTTAATGGAATTATTTTAATAATAGTATCTTGTTTAAAAAATGAAGAATCTAAAACAAAATGCCAAAGCAAACTGGATGCTGAAGTAATAAGCACAAATCAACTCATTTCCAGGCAAACCAAAATACACATGCCTCTTTAATTCTTCCCTGATGCTAGAGTTTCGTTCATTTTCTATTATTGTTACATGGGTCAGATATGATGAGAGAAATTTGGAAGATTTGTTTTCATTTTGTTTTGTTTGCTACAGAAAGTATTTATTTCCTATCAAACTTGAATGATTTCCACTTCAGAGAGTTCATTTCAGTGTAAGGGGAGGGGATGGTGAATGAAGTCCAAGAAACAAAGACATCARCATCCAAATAATGGGAAAAAAAATTTAGAACTGTTCATTATTCGGTGGGCCTTTAGAACAAAAATAAAAGGGGAAAGTAACCAATTCCCAGAAAATCAATCCCCAATACAAAAARAAATGGTGGGAGATGAGTAAGCACAGGCAGTGCAGAATGAATTCTTCAAAAATCATGTTATGTTCACATATAAATATACCACAGATAATTTCACCTYTATGCATAGGTAAAAAGAACCAAATATAAGTAAATAGAGGAATGCAAGAAAGTCTAGTAGAGGAAGGGAAAAGGGGGAGTATCATGAACTGAAATCAAATTCCATTACATGYATGAGTTTGAACCCAACCTACATATAAATGCAAAGATCTATAAAAATAAAAAGATATACATGTAAAATGAAATGACATGGAAGGAATAAAAATAAGTTGAATAAAAAGTCAACTTAAGACCACAGGATAAAAGTAGCTAAGGAGGCAAAAGTAGAAGAAATGATAAAAGTAAAAACAGAGTAACAATAATATTGATGAATAAATTTAAGAGCCTCTTCTTTGAAATGACCATGATTTTGATCTAGTGATAAATAAAAGGAATTTTTTAATGCCATATACTTCTAGACATAGAGCAATTTAAAAATAGTAAGTGAATACTATGTACAACATTATGGCCAGTGGACATGAAAATCTGGATGAAATGTTTGCTTATCTAGGAAAGTATATGAAATTGAATCAACGAGAGGCAGAGATMTAAACTGATCAATTATTTTAATAATTCCTCCAATCCCTAAAAATACCCCCATTTCAGGAACATCTTCCCAAATCTTCCTTCATCACATAAACTGCTCTGGGGCATAGGGAAAAAGTAAGAGCTTCCCAACTCGTSATGAATGGTTAGTGTGTCTCTAAGACCAATCCAGACAAGACTGGAGACATGGACCAACCTCACAAATGCYATTGCAAAGGTCCTCAATAAAATGATAGCAAGTGAAGTCYAGTGTTATTWAAAAATGCTACATCAAAACCAAGGAACTTTATATCAACATATCTTACTCCAAAACTACTATTTTGATCACATTACCACCAAAATGATTAAAGAATACTTTATTTTTTGGCRTCTCTACCAATACTGGAGATGTTAGGAGAAGATGACTTTGGTTTTCTCATTGACATTTTTTCCYCTGAGACAGAGATATAAATTGTGCAATTAATTTTTTAATGTTTTAATTTCAAATGAAAAGTTTCGGAGCAGTGATGAAGATGTAATAGTCCAGGTCAATCAAGGCACAATTGTATGAATTCTATCATTGGAGTCTCCAGCCACCCCTTAGTGCTCCCTTTTTCTCTTCTTAAGGCATGCTCKCTCCCTCCCAGTGTCAATCCAAAGTCTTTGGGGTCTTTGCCAGGATGGGACACAATGGATGGGCAACCATTGCCAACACATCAGTTTTCCAGAAAATCTCTGAAACCTTGGCATTTGAACACCCATTTCAAGCTCTTACAATCCTTTAGAAACTCTACATTTACATGTCTTCCTTTCCCTAACCTCAAATCTACATGTGCTCCTAGGAGAAAGCCTGATGATCTCATACATCAAGGTAAATATATCTATTTGCTGCCCCAGAAAAATTTCTATCTGAAAAGTGATCGCTAATTATGCAGCAAAGTGCCGGCGTCAGAAGAAGGAGGTCAAATTGGCACCTTGACCAATCCTGTGATTATGCAGAGCAGATTTCCAGACAAATACAATAGAGTTGGGGCACCCTTCCAACTGACAGTCATTACCTGAGATTGTAACTGTGGCCATAATCCAAACATAGCACACTGATAGATTTTGTTTGGCTCTTCCTAATTTTTAAAATGTTTTAGTCCAAATGCTTATGAAGACATTTCACCTTGCAATCTCTGCTTTATATTCATCCCAGGCTCTGACCTCTGCACATAATAATTATAATAAATAATTTCAGGTACAAAAGAGACAAGTACTAGTGTAATCTTCTTCCCTCCCTTCATTCCTCTTTTAAATTCTATGGTTTTAGAAAATATTATAACCAGTAAGATGAATTCTACATGCTTGCTCTTTACTTTTGGTATTTTCCCCTGTAATTCTAAGAAATTTACCTTTCTGGATAAATTCTAGAATCAATCTATCAAAGACCATGAAAATATTCTTGGAATATTTACTGATATTATAATTAATTCTATATTCATTTAGTGAGAAATAGCATATTAATTATATTTTTCCCATCAGTCAACTTAGTATATGTCTCTACTTATTTTTTCCTGTTCTTTAGCAAAGTTTTGTGCTTTTTCATAATGAGCATCTTAATTAAGTTTTTATGAAGATGACCAAAAATTCCTTGAGAAAGATTAACCTAACTTTGTAATGCAAATTCTCCATATGCAGGTTGTTATGCCAAGTTTTGCTCTAAAATCATCTGATAGCCTGGTTTGGGCTAGGAATTAGTCATATTTAACCACATTGCTTTTGTGCCCTACAGTTAGTGCTAGGATGAGATACCCCTTTCGTGTGTCAGGGACTCATTTAATGAGCCTTATTCTTTCCTGGGGCACTTGTTCTCCAACCTTCCTTCATACTGAGCCTTTTGCTATCGAACTCTTCCTTGAAAATGCTGTCCATGCCTTACAATGCTGCTTCTCTTTGTCTCCCAAACCTGAATAGTCTTTCTCTCTAAAATCTTCATCCTATAAAGTGGCAAAGAAAGGGGCCTGCTTGACCCCTTTTGGTTAGAGGATTCACTTCTTACTTCAAACACAAGATAAAAATTTATCTTGTTCTGCCCAACATGGATACCTGGCATTTTGTGTGTGTGCGTATAAGTTCCCTCCCAGAAACATACACTCGGGCCTTTAGTGATCCATAGTAGGTGCCTACAAATAACATTTCTCCTGACTTTCTTTAAATGTCAGAAAATGTTATGGTTATGAGAGGAATTCTTTAACATCATAAAAGTAAAGATTAGCCCAACATTAGTTTATAATAAGGGCATCAATCCCCTCCACACACACACACACAATTACATCAGCAGTCAAGTCTTCCACAAGTATCAATTCTTCATGTCATCTCTTCATTCTCCTCCCTCTTATTCTTCCCCAGAAAATACTTCTCATCCCTGGATTACCAAAACGAAAAATGTTATTGTTTTGTCCACTGTCTACTCCTTACAACCTGGATTTCAAGATACTCTAAAGGAGGTTTAAGGTCATTGAGAGGATTGAAGGGTCAGAGGCATCACAATGTTGAAACTCTTGGGTAGCCACTGCAGAGGAGAGAGTGCAGTGACGGTGGCTGCACACCGTGGGGCCAGTTACTAAAAGGGATACTAACTAGTTCTTTTTGAAACACAATTTCTGCACTCATATTTACATTACAGGTTACACATTTTTGTAAATCCTACAAGYTTTATTTTTAAAACTGAAATGATAAGAGAACATTTACTTGGTTTCTGGTTTCTCTTATATCTATAAGCAATGCGATAATTTAAGGTGGCTTTGTTTGGAGGCTGCTAATGCATCTCCCCCTTAATGAATTACAAAATGTTCTCATTGCATCTTTAAGTGCTTGCCCTCTGGTTAGGAATCTCCTTTATATATATATATATATATATATATATATATATATTAAAATGGCCTCTGTTTAGATGTGTTCTCATTGACTTAATTTCTCTTGTGGGGAAAAATACATTGCTAATGATCACCTTGTCTTAAATTGCAGATTACAGTTTTTCGGATGGGATCAGAAGGACACCAGGACATTGATTTAGCTATCCTGACAGCTTTACTCAAAGGTAAAAGACTTTCTGCATCCATAGAGTAAAAAAAATGATTTAAATGGATTAACACAACAATCTCATGTCTCCTATTAGTGGGTATAATCCCAAATGATTCCCTGACACATCTAGTTATTGATAACATGAGGAACTCTCCCATAAGACACTGCTACTACTATCAAATTCTTCTAGAATAGACCCATTACAGTGTGACTCAATTTTAATACACTATAGCCCAAGTCATATCCATTGAAATATAAAAATATATAAGGGAAAAGTTTGAAATAAAATGTAAGACAAGGTCATTTAATAATTATTATTACCTTATCTATTTTCAAAAAATACTATGGCATCTTAGATGTGAGGGTGTATTTGAATAGATGCACTAAAACTGAAAAACTAAAAATCATTAAAGGGAAAAAGAAATAAAGAAACAAAATATGAGGCTACTATACTTGTTTCAAATAAGCATTAAATTCAACTCTAAACTCCCTGCAAAAGTAGAATACACTGGGTTGTGGGACTTTAATTCATACAGTGGGTTTGTCCTATTCTCTAGTCCCAATGTTCTAGACATATCACTACCTGTCCTCGTCTCTGGTAACATATCCAAGAGATGAGCTGTGTCCTCCAGATTTTACAGATCAAATTTCATCCTTGATGTGCCTTAATAATTGTTTGCATTTGACCAATAATTTTCAGTATTAAAATAATAAAACAATAATTTGACCAATAATTTTCAGTGTTAAAATAATAAAATAAGGTTATGCCTGTTCTGTTCTTAAATTCAAACTGGAATCACAGGACAAAACAAAACCACAAGCCATGTTGGCGGTGGTTCTCAGAAATGTCTCCTACATCCTCCCTTAGCTCCATATTTTGCCTGTTGAGGTGCTTATCACATGGCTGGTTTATTACATGGCTGGAGGCTATGTTTGCAGCCTCCCTAGATTAAGAACTCTTGGAGAGCAGAGAATGTGTCTTGTGCATTACTGTACTCTCAGGATCTTGCACAATCGCCAACACATGGCAGCATTCAATCAATTCTTTTTATTTTTTTTTATTTTTTGGTGGAGAGGGGGCATGAATACTAGGGATTGAACTCAGGGGCTCTCAACCACTGAGCCACTCCCCAGCCCTATTTTGTATTTTATTTAGAGACAGGGTCCCACTGAGTTGCTTAGTGCCTCACTATTGCTGAGGCTAGCTTTGAACTCGCGATTCTCCTGTCTCAGCCTCTGGAGCCACTGGGATTACAGGCATGCACCACCACACCCAGCAGCATCCAATCAATTTTTGTTGAATAAAGAAATTTATAGATTACTCAAGGATTCTGCAGTTGATTCAATATTCCAAAGTTAGACCACAGAATAACATTTCATTCCATTTTTCCAATCTACCTACTCTTCTTTCACTATTAATATTTTCTTGATAACCTATCATGTTGCAACCTCTATAAACATTAATTCTTGCAATTACCTACTGTTAGAGATATTTTAATTCCCATTTTATAGATGAAGTAAGTAAAACTATAAAAGGTTAAGTCACTGGCTAAAGTTACAATGCTAATTAGTGAACCTACTCTTAGGCCCAAGTATATCTTAGTCTTCACTATGCCACATATGAACCCTTAGACAATAGAGGCTATGTGTCCTGTGGACACTCCTCAAAAAGCATGTGCACATTCATTCAAAATTGTGATCACATTTCAGGAGATTCATAATCCTATGAATATGTATACATAATCCTAAATATATGTATAAATAATCCTTATGTATACATAAGTATATTATGTATCCCAGGTTGAGAATTATGGTCTAAAACATTTCATATCAATAAACTAAAAAAATATCCACACTGACAGAAGAATTGAAGGACTAGGAACTATGCATGGGCTGAACCACAAAACATACCCTGGGCCCCATTCTTCTTTTGTCACAGACAAAAATAAAATTTTAAGTAAGTAACTCTATCATATTTGCTCTTCTTATATAAAGGTAGGAAAACAATGATATTAGTAAATAACATTTATTGAGTATTTGCTTTATGTCAAACACTGTGTTAGGTGTATCCTATGTGTAAATTTATTTATTCCTTCTGTTTAAATATTTTTTAGTTGTCTATGGACCTTCATTTTATTTATTTACATGTGGTGCTAAACCTAGTGCTTCACACATGCTAGGCAAGAGCTCTACCACTGAGCCACAACCCCAGCACTCATTTATTCTTTATAAAAATTCAGTTACCACTTTATCACAAGTTTATTGACAAGGAAATTGAAGCACAGAACAATTCAGAAACATGCCCAAGTTGGCCAGTAAATGGTAAAGACTGTCCAAGTAGATAGCCTCACTTAGGTATGCCACAAAGATAATCCTAGCATGTTGATAATAGGAAATGAAACACATTATGATCCTGAAAATTTTTCTAACAAATAGGGAAGTGATTCAATTATCAGTAAAAATAAAATGATTATCATCTTATAATTAAAATATTTTCTTGCCCTTTTACCCATTTATGAGATTCCAAATTGTGCATCACCTTTAGATCAGTGTTAGAATTCACTTGTTATATTAGAGAATCATGTTTTCCAACTATTTTCAGCATGACACACAGTATGAAATCCACTTTATGCCATAACCAGGCAGTTACACATATGCACTGAGAAAATTGAAATTGAAGTACTTAAAATAATATTTACATGGACAATATGCAGTGAAATTTAATATTTTCTATTTTAATCTATTCTGTTCTCCTGAATGCTGATTGTATCCCACTAAATTGATTTCATGATCTACTAATGGGTTGTATCCTGCAGTTTAAAAAACACTACCATAAAAGATGAAAGGAAATTATTATCGCTCTAAGAAATTAACATTTCTAATCACTATAATGAACATTACTTATGCAGCAGTTGAGCTAATGGGAATTTATGCCATTAAAAGATTATGGTGTGTCAACTTTATTTTGCAAAAGCTTTTCAATGCTCTCAGACATTGACCCAGTTGATTTGTGAAGGGTATCAAGCATAATATTTTTGCTGACTTCTTCAGAGGCCAAGAGCATTCATTCTTATATCAGTTTCAAATTCTTAAGTTTGTTATGTTATTCTTCCTGTGTTTTTCCTGGGCATGTAACAATGTTTAATTGAACTTTTGATTATCTGATACACTGAAAATCTTTGCACAGTCTAATTTTTACTCTGAGAAATCATAAATTTCTGAGAAAACCAGAAGTTAGAAGGAAGAGGAAGTTTTGAAACTAACCACTTGGCCCACAAATCCAGAGGCAAAAGGAAGAGGAAAGAAAGAGAGAGAAAGTGAGGGAAGAAAGGGAAAGGGAAAAGGAAAAGAAAAGGAAAAGGAAAAGGAAAGAAAAGGGAAAGGTTGTAGGAAAAATACACCTTTGCTGCTCATTATCTCTGCTCCCATTGAGTTTGATTTTCTTGGATCTGTATTAGAGAATATTCTTTATATAATGTAGACTTTTACAGTTATCTATTCAAAAATCAAGAGATAAAGAAGACAAAAAGAAGGCTGCTCCAGAGATGTAAGAGGCCCAGAGTTCCTTCAAATGGTGACCTGGGGTACTTTTGACAATAAGCAATGTCACATTGTCCTTCACTACAGGTAAYGCTCCCTGAGAGAGGTATTCTGAATCAGAGACTGTGCCTCTCCCTTGCACTAGCGCTCCATCTCCCATGTCACAGAAGCATTGGGGGACAGAGTAAAATGCAGGACGTCCAATTAACTCTGAATTTTCAGGTAAACAAAAGCTAATTTTGTTAGCATGAATATGTCAAGTGGGACATACTTACTCCGCCCCCAGCCCCCAAAAAAGCATTGTTTGCCTGAAATTCAACCCTCACTGTGAGTCCTGTATTTTTATCTGCTAAATCAGGCTACCTGACTCAGACAAGACACCATGAATACCTCTGGCTTTCAGACACCTTGAAAAGTTTTATGAGAAGAGTGACCTCAAAAATCTAGGGAGGTCCCCTCATCCCTCTCTCTGCCTCTTTCTCTCAGCCAGCCCTGACTAAGTTATATCACCCAAAGAAGACTTGCACTGGAGAGGATCCCACATTCTTGCTTCAGTTAACCATTGGTGCATATCAACCTGCTCCCTCAGCTTCCTGTCCTGTGTGCATCCCTCACACAGCAGTACAAACCTCTTGCTGAGGCTCAATAAAGCCATAAAACATCTGCTCATAGCAGATGGGTCTCTGTACCCTTCCTGTGAATACAATTGTCCCCAATTCCTTTCATCTTTTCTTGTGGACCTTGATTTCAATAAATAAAGTCAAATCACAGGAGCCAACTCTCATTCGCCTCCACCCTGGACAGTGTCACATGATGAGCACTATCCTCCATAACTGAGAAGTTCTTTTTCTTTGGATTTCATCTTCAATGGTAAAGAAGATCACCTGAGGCCTGGGGAGAAAGTTACCTTGACTTCTTACTTTTTTTTCTGTAAAGTTTTTTTTAAAAAAGCTAAAAAAGTGTAAAACAATATGTTCCTTCTCAAAACTGTTAAGGTCGTTAAAATCTTAAAAAGAGAGAGAGAAGTCTGAAAGATTGCCTAGAGGAGCTTACAGAAACAGGATGACTAAATGTACTGTTCTTTCCTGGATGGCATTCTGTAGCAGAAAAAAGGGTGATATGAGGGTAAGAATGAAGGAACTATGAATAAATATGGACTAAACTTTTTTAAAATGCTAAGAGAAAAATAAGAAATATATGTTATCATATATTATGGATCTGATCAAGATACATATTATAATCAAAAAACCTTAAAACTCTTTCATGTCAAAAAGACAAAAAAGGAGATAACGATTATGGAATTAATCATAAAAGTCAGACATATGTAAATTCAAAGGACTATAACAGGTGCAGGCAATATATCTATATAAAGTATCTATATAAATCAATATATCTATATAAAGTATCTATACATCTTATTTTAATAAATGTATGAAATCAAATTTGTCTATGTACTTACATAATCATTTCAGAGAT